AAAAAATAAAGCTAAAAACAATTCAAAATATTAAAGAACAAAAGGTATTAGAGTATAATAATGATTCTAACATAACACTAAGCCAAACACCAAAAAAAAAACAACTACATATATGTGTATGTACGACCATACACACATACATATGTATATATACATACACATTTATAAATTCAATATATATATCATTTCATTTCCATTTAGTTTGTTGAAGTATTAAAATAACTCAAATGAAATAAAACTAAAACTTAATAAAAGACCTAAACAGACATAATAAATTCAGACATAATTTAACTAAAATTAAAATAAATAACAAATACAAATAATACAAATCAAACGACAGTAATTTATCAGTAATCCATAAAAGATATGAACTAAAGTTTTGACTTTGTGTGGATTAGTCTAAATGTTAAAAGATTTTGTTTCTGTCTTTTGTACTGTGAACTGTGTGTGGGCCTCAACATATATATCTGACTTGTAATTAAATACTGAGTTAATTACAGCCTGAAGCTCCTTCTGTGTTGCATACAGTATAACTGTCATCAAGTGTCAGCGGTGTTAATAGTACTGGAAAAATGTGCACACTTAACACTTAACTCAGAGAAAAAGAAGCTGAGTGAATGAAAAATATAGAATTAAAGTGTAGCGCGTTCCTGATTATTAATGCCATCAGAATAACAGAATCACCTGTTTATAGAGGATCAGCGAAACAATCTACTGTTAAATGACTTTAAAAATGAATAGAAGCATTTGATTAAATTCTGTGACAAATTTTTCAAGGTCCAGTTTATTGATAAATGTTCCTGATTAGTACAAACAATGTATGGAGGTACATTGTAGACTAAAGGTATCCAAAAATACAAATTATGACAAGATGAATGCCAATAAACTATTTAAAGTTCAAAGTTTTAAGCAACACATGAAAAAATTAACATAAAAACCTTTAAACTTCATAAATGACTTCGTAAATCTTTACATGAAAGGCAGCAAAGTCAAATTATTGCAAAAATGTACGTTTCCCAAAAATGTAAATCCAGATTATAACTCAAAGAAAGTGGGTACTGCATATATTTCTTTTCACACAATATTGCAAGAACCATTTATATTCAATAGAAAATTATTTAAAACATTGCTTAGGTACAGTGGTTTTGTTTATTTTGGTTTTTATTATATATATATTATTTATGAATGCTCAGCCAGGCAGAAGGTTTTTACAGCTTAGACAAGTGAGAACAGTGCTGTCAGATATTATGATTTCATCACCTGTGTCATAAATGTATTTTTGGATTGCGTTTGATTTATTTGTACTACACTGTCACATACCTTTAACGTATCTTGCCAGATTTCAATATAATTAAATCAATAAAATCACAAGCACAGCCAAAATTTTGCTTCGAGATAAGAAAATATGTATTTATGCATTTTTGTTCTCTATAAAGGAACTTGGCTGGTCACCAAAGCCAATGAGATGCTGATGTTATGGGCCTTTTGTTTTCAAAACGAATATAAGGGGTAGATCTAGAGAGCAGTATCACAAAATCCTCCTCAACAATCCCTGATCAAGCTCATCAGTCTTAAACAAAGGTAAGGTACTATTAATTTAATGAATGGTCATCAGTAACTTTGCTGTTTGGGGTTGAATGTCTAGCTCTAGTTCTAGATCCTGTTGTAGATGACTACATATAAGATATTGAACAATGAAACTATATCGTTCACAAAAACGTTTCATTTCAGACATTATCATTCAACATGAGAACCCTCTTTTTGCTGGCATTTGTCATTGGAGTGGCCTACTGTGCTCCGGTACATCATCTACAGTATTTGTCTGTTATATATTTATTCATGAATCAGCTATGACAAGAGAATATGTGATACTACTGTAGCTTTGGCTGTCCTGTTTTTTGACCCACAGCAATTGATGTATTATGAGCTAGAGTACAAACCGGTCCTGGCTCCACAGGTCAGTTTGGTCCAAACATGAAATAAATACACATTTCTTGTTTAAAATGGCAGCCTAAATTAAATGATTCATAGCATATGGGAATATATAGCTCATGTAAAGTAATATATATGTCATATTTGATAATACTGCAGTTTGTATTATATAAGAAGTGTGTATAATGATCTACAGGCTCTTGCTGCGGCTGCCGCTGCAGCTAGACCTTCTGAAGTCGAAATTGTAAGTGTGGTCTTTGTTAAATAGATTAATTTTAGCATCACTCAATAATATATTACTCAGACATATAATATTTTATTTTATTTTATTTTATTTTATTTTATTTTATTTTATATCAGTTCTTGGCAGCTCAGCAGGCTGCAGCTGGAGTTCCTGTAAGTTTCAAATAGTTTTAATTTCTTTTCACAGTGTATTCATATAGTTTAGCATGCAATCAGTCCTCATTTTGTCTTATTCTCCACAGGCTCAACCTGTCCGTGGCTTCATTAAGCATGAGATTCCCCAGCCCGGAGGCAGAGAAAGCATTGAAGTTGTATGTGTTTCCACCTTTTTTAATTGTCTACTGTTACACACAATGTGAATCTCCAGTACGATGCCTCAATTTCTTCCCAATTATGTAGAAGTGAATTCATTTTCCTCTGTTTTCTAGCTGTACCCATTCGACTTTCCTCAAGCTGCTCCAGCTGCCCCTGCTGTTCCTGCTGTTCCTGCTGCCCCAGTACAGTCCAAACTGAACATTTGTAATATGTATTACAATTTCACATATATATATATATATATGTGGCTATTTCTCATTTTTTTGTATTTTTTAGGCCCCTGTTCCAAAGGACGATGATGATGACGATCATGATGACTAAACCAGACTGGTTGGTTCAGTAATAATTAACCGATATATCCATCATAATGCTGCAATGCCATCAGTTTAACAGTTTTTTTCAATGGAAAATGCAACTTTATACACTGGTCACTAACACTTACATTTTACATAGAGAAAATTGTTTTGTAAATAAAAGAAAGATTACCAGAGGTTATTCAAGAAAATACTATTTCAGCCATTCTACTTCAAATGTTCATGTTTAATCAGTGTGTTGTTGCCTGTCTTTGTAATTATTCATTTTGAAATTTACTTGCAATTTCTGAGTAAAAACTGTGTCTATACATTTTTTTTGCAGTAAATATATTACAGCTTTGAGCAACATATTATTCTTGTTTAATTTTATTCTAACATAAACAATAGAATAGACACATTTACAAATACAACACATTTCTGAAGCCTTCTTTTTTATTCTCTCACAGATGAACAGATAAGCTGACCACCAATTCCTGAATGACAAAGAAGCTGCTTGTAGTGTTTAACAAATTGACTGCGTAAACCCTTTCCTGCATTAGAAATAATGATGATCAATCAAATGGTGCTTTCTCAGTGGCTTGATGCACGAGAGCCATAAAAATCATCGCTTTTTTGCTACCATATTTTTAAATCTTGATTTATAATAAACCGTTCAATCAATTCCTTGCCTCCTTGTGTATGTGTGTTATTGTGCTGTTATGATTATTGTTGTACAGTTATTATGCTGTTAATACAAATAAATAACAATTCCTAGTTTGGCTGATAATAAATATCATCCCAAAAAATGCTCTTCCAAACCTGACATTGTTGTTTTTAAGTTGCAATTAAACACCACTAAGTTCATTCACAAAAAACAAACTCAGTTCCTATTTTTGATAGCACTGATATTTTGTACCTTCAAAATATAGCTTCAAAAACGCATTCTGGTCATATCAGCACTTCCCTCGACTATCATCATTATAATAATAGCTGACAGACAGATAGACAATGTCTGACTACAGGTCATTTTCTCAATAACCATCTTTCTCTATCCGTGAGGTCATGATAAAGTCTAGTCTGAGAGGGATTGGCTAAGCGCTAAGCCAGAGACCAAATAAAAGCATGACAACTCTCAGAGCTAGTGACTCTACCTGCAGCCAAGGTGAGAAAGCTGGTTGACCATTTTGTGCACTGTTAGTGGTTCTGTTTCTGTATTATCACGCAGCACTAGCACTCCTTCATTGGTTTCGACAGTCTTAGCTCACGTCTTTGTTTGTGTAAGGTTGGTGAATCCATAAACATGTGGACATCTCTCCTGTGTCTTCTTCTGGCTGGTGCAGTATCTGCAGCACCAGTAAGTACACATTGAACCTTTTCTCAGGAATGTCTTTGTAGTTCTCAAAGCTTGTTTTTATGTCTCTGGGTCGCCCAGCTGTTGAAACTGATCCTTTTTCCCCCATGTGTTTATCTCTCTGTCTAGCTTTCACCGTTTTTCAATTATCTCCCTCATTATGGCAACTCGAAGCAGGTGGGGTTAACCACACATGAACATTGTAAACTTTTCCGTATCCATAAACAGCATAACAGTCTTCGGAATCTTTTGCTTTAACCATAATCAACACATTGCACCCAGTTTCATGATGAAAATAGCTCTGTAATATTACACTGCATGATGACATACTATTCCGTGACATGTGTTTATATGATTTATGGGTTTAACTGACTATCCTGAGGTTGCTACAGAACATGTACTGAACATTGTATTTATAACCAAACTAAACGTGTTCTTTTTGGGTATCCACTTAAATGAATTTGAACTCCTTTCATTTGTATTTTAGGGGAATAATGGTGGCTTCCAGGGAATACCAGCACAGCCACATCCTGGTCTGAATGCTCCAATCAGCATGGAAATCGTATGGGCTATTTTTTTCTATGTTTTTTTATTACCTTAAATATAACAATTCAAAGTGGTACCAGGATACTTTGTAAAACAAAGATAGCTTAGTATAATTAAATTACCACTATAGTTTTAATAATATTTTGAATTAGTTTTTATTTTTAATTTAGTTAAAGTTTCAGTAATTTTGTTGTGGTGTTTTTTTTTTGTTTATTTTATTTTTTCAAATATATATATAGTTTCATTCATTTTTATTTCAGTTTTAATTAAGTTAGGCAATTTTAGTGTATAAGAAATAATGGACTAAATAAAAATAGGAAAATTGTTTTATGGTTTTAGTTTTAGTTAACTCTGCTGTAAATATGTCCTTTTGGTACCTGAAGTAGTAATTTCTACCTGCCCTAACCCTTAAAATTACTTATTAGGTTTCTGTAACCTAATGTATTCAGGTTTATTCAGTCATATTAAATAAAAATGTAATTTAATTTATAATTTAATTTATTTATTGTTTTAATAAAGATGGTGCCACATGAAGCATATTTAAGATACCTTGAAAAAGTATAGTGTAGTGTATTGCTTTTATTAGGTTAGTGTACCTGATTTAACCCATAAAAATACTTTTATTAGGTTAGTGTAACCTAATATATTCAGGTTTATTGAGTCATGTTAAATAATCATTTATTTTAATATATTTTTTAAATGAAATTAATTAATAATAAAAAAAAAAAGATTGTACAACATGAAGCACATTTGTGGCCCTGGCTGCAAAGACCCAACTCAAAGATCAAAATCATAGTGAAACTAATGGTTGAAATCAAACTTTGATGCTTGTTATCTCATAATTAGATTTGGAGACTTTAGCCTCCATGGTTCCCTTTCATGGGAACTTTGAACTGCATCCTCTAGGTTTCCCCATAGCGACCCCTAGAGGACGCAGTGTCTCGTTCCCTACTCAGGGAACCATGGTTACATAAGTAACCTGAGACGTTCCCTTTCATGGGAACTTCGAACTGCGTCCTCTAGGGGTCGCTATGGGGAAACCTAGAGGACGCAGTGTCTCGTTCCCTACTCAGGGAACCATGGTTACATAAGTAACCTGAGACGTTCCCTTTCATGGGAACTTCGAACTGCGTCCTCTAGGGGTCGCTATGGGGAAACCTAGAGGACGCAGTGTCTCGTTCCCTACTCAGGGAACCATGGTTACATAAGTAACCTGAGACGATTTCACAGACAGTCACATTTTAGATTACCTGAATAAACAACAAAAACAACAACAAATTATAGTGTATGTGCTGTATATCATCCTAAATGTATTATTATTATTATTATTAATTTATTAAAATTTTTATCAAATAGATTTTCCCTCCGCGATTCCCTGCTACTCCAGTAGGAGGAGCAGCTGGCGCATCGGTGAGTCAGTAAAGTTTTTCTCTCTGAAAGCTTGCGAAACACTTGTCATCTACCATTGCCTTTTTTGATAAACTCAGCTCAATCAGTTGAATCAATATAGAACGTGTGTATTCGAAAAGAATAGAACATGGTTACTAGCTACTATTATTGACACTGTGGCATCTCTCTCTCTCTCTCTCTCTCTCTCTCTCTCTCTCTCTCTCTCTCTCTCTCCACACCCGCAAACCTCAAATACT